CTTGTAGACTCGATGCACTCGACGATTTTCTTACACTGCTAAAGCTGTCTGCAACTGGAGCATCCATCAAGTTCATTGGCACTGGATTGAAATTACCGGTCTCAGATTCTGCTGCTAGATTGGTTCTGCTTGACGCTTTCGATCTCAAAGCTAAGCCTTTTCCGGCTATTGATAAAAACCCGCCATTGCTGCTACTGTTCTCTTCTTTCAACACAAGTTCTGGAGTCCGGGATGAAAAATCGGCCTCAGATTTTTGGCGTCTTCTCATAAACTTTTCGGATGTTGGTTCTTGAGTATTATTATCGGGTGATTGGTTAACCTCTTCGATAAGCGCATTGACCAAGCTTCTTGATTTCCTGTGGTGATTCAAGGGAGTATTTGTGGATGGGAAAGGTCTGAGATATCCGTTATCACCATTGTTAAAGAGATGATGAGAAGATTCCGTTTTGTAATTTCCCATCTCCAAGCATCCTCCATCAGAGACTGTTCTATCTGCTGGTTTTAGCCCGTAATAACCTTGCAATGAGTACATGGCTGGAGAAACTTTCTTTTCCGAAGATTTCAATCTCAGAGACTGAAATGAGTCAAACACTTCCTGGTCGCAATGGTTTGGTGATTCCGGTTCGTGGCATGAACATCCCTCTCTGCAAATAAGATTCCATGTATTAGAGCCATGAAAAGAGGATTACTCGATAATTATATTATGCAGTTTCAGTCTAACACAACCAAAGGCTTTAGTTGTTTACGTCTCAATCCCCCAGACAGCTTAACTATAAAAATTAAGGGGACGAGACTTGAGGAAGTGGATTTTAGGCTTAACGACACACTTAAAATACTTTTAAAACTGAGAAAACATGAGTATCAGAAACAGAAAAAAAGTAAGAAGCAACAACTTTATCCTTGCAAAGTAAAGATAGCATACGATAAATCATTCATTTTAAAGGTATTAGAACCAGGATAGAGAAGCTTTTAGTACCCATGGTTTAAGGAGCCATTCGATAAACATGGAGAAGGAGGATGCCTCCCAGGTAACGGAATTTGAAGAGACTTGAGAGCAAACATTTGAAGATCAGTAACAAGATTATTCATTTTTTTCACATCTGCAACCTGAAGTAGAAAGTTTTACAACACAGGGGAAAAAAAAAAATCAGAACAGCGATTAGGAATAATAATCCAGCATCAAAAAAGCAAAGCTTAAACAATCTCAAATAATCCAGCTCCCTCTGACAATTAACTTTTTCCTCATGTGTTCTTCATCATGCGTCAATTCCAACACAAACAAAAAATCTGAATGCTTTTTACCACTACCATAATAAATTCTACCTTTATCTCTAATTAAAAATACCGTTGTATGTCAATATTACTCAACAACCTTAAGCAAAGTCATATATTCTGGAGCTGACCAAACCTCAATTTTGGGGATGAATCGTTAGCTGAAGAGAAAGAATTGTACCTCAACACCGTATTTGATAGCAATGCCGGCGAGAGTATCAAATTTGGAGATGCGGTGTTCGATGTATCCACGGTCAGGCGAATTGGAACCATGAAATGGCGGAGAAGAACTAGAAGGTGGAGGAGACGAGGTCGGCGACGGGATCCGAAGGATCTTCGATCTAGAAGGACTCTTCTCACGGCAATTTTCCAATCGATCTAAGAATCCATAACCATTATCATCACGGAATTTGCCGTTGCTATATTCAGGAGTCCCATTACGACCAGAACTCCGTCTCTCTCGATCCATAAACATAATCTCTGGAAAAATCCTAACTATTCTACACTAGATCTGATCAAAATTGCATCATCAAGTAGAGGAACAAGAAATCGAAACGGTGAAGGAGGAGAGATTCAAAAAAAAAAAAAAAAAGAGGAGAAAAAGTGAATACAAGGAAATGGTGAAGAGGCGTTGAGAGAGATTAACGAAAAGAGAGAGGTGAAAAAAAAACTCGTGGACTAGAGAGTCGAATTTTCTCAGAGGATCGATGGAAAATTTTGCTTATTATTTTTTCCCCAGATTTTCCGGGAAAAACGAAACGAGAGATCTCTGTGCTCCTCTCTCGTCGCAGCGGTGGAATTGGAATTATACCAAAATTTTATTTAATGACCTTAAAAATAGAACCAAAGCAAAACTAAATCAGATTCTAATTAATTATTGCATTATTAACACTAAGCTTTGTATATTAAACTGCTTTTTATAATCGAGCTGAAACAGCAAAACTTTATTAATTGACGACAAGTATTGGTGAAAAAATAATCAGATCTTTATACAAAAATTAAGTAAATTTCTTTTTTCTAGAAGAATAATTATAATATTAATAAATAAAAGTGCTCAATTTTTTTTTTTACAAAATTAAAAATATTGTGAGATTCTGATTAACGTACAAAAATTAAAAATTATCTACTTGTATAAAAAATTAGATTACTTATGTACCGGATAAAATAAAAAGCTTTGAAAGTCATAAACGAAGTGTGTGTGTTTGACAAAGAAGAAGTCCGCATAATGTCGGCGAGAGAGTTAAATCCATTCTTCTTTGCCTAACCAAAATTACACTTTACTAATAAATTAAACAATTGATTAGACATCCAAGAGTGGTCCAACTTCTCTTCTAGCTCTTGGATTAATTGTTTGGTTTGGGAAAAGAAACCGGGTTAGTTTCTCCGGTTTAGATGTTTCAATATTGGCTCTGTACAAAGGTATCCAGATTTGGATCATTTGGTGATTAGTCTACAAATCGATTCATGACTTCAAGATTTATGAAGTTAGAACATAATTTAGAGAATTTGGATTCAAATGAAGCTAGTTGCTAAGATTCAAGACAAACCTTACTAATTACATCTGAATCACCAAAGTGATTTTAAAGGAAAAACACAAATCTAAGTTAAAAAAAATGTAAAGAGCATATCAACACCAAGACGCGACGAATTTTGCACTTTACAGAGAAATGCTAGAAAAAAAAAAACAAGTCAAAAGGATAATGTTAAAAAAAGAGATTCCTTTGCGGTTTTGTTGATTAGCTTTGTAGACTTGTTTGTTGGGTTTCTTCTAGTTGCTCTGGTTGAGGAACTGAAACACCTCCATTCATTCTTGCTCGAGCTTCTGCAAACATTCTCTGTTGTTCCGCTGCTGCTTCTTCTTCCGTCATCTCTGCTCCGCTGTTCATCTTCACGCTTCTCTGTGAATCTTGCTGCATAATTTGCAAAAACACAAATGAAACTGGTTATAGTTTTATTCAAGTCTAGATTTTTAGTAAATTAGGATATGATGGTGTAATGGATGATTACCATGGTTTCATATTTATGTTGCTCATAAGCGGCATAGACTTCTTCGACGTATTCCCCAAAGCCAAGAACCTGTGTTTCATGTCATGAACAAAATCAAGATTAGTAAAACATGTACATATTTCACATAGATGTATCTGACTAAACTAAATGTAAGACCAAACCTGTAAAGCTTTGAGTACGTGCTCAGGGGCGATCGTTCGTTTATCCTCTTTGTTACACACTTCGTTAGACTCCGAGGATATAAGATTTATGAACTCTGAATGTTTTAAACAAATTGACCATCATAAGTAATGAGATAAGCAAATTTGAAACAATGATCGAATGCATTAATCTCAAGACTAATCTTACCTACACAACACTCAATCAATAGGTCTTGAGCATCTCTAGCAACACGAACATCTGCGGGTAACATCTCCTTTATAATTTTCGTCATGGTAGCTGAAATTTCACAAAGAACAAACATATCTTTTAGCTAACAAAAATTATAAGTTAGGTGAAGTTACTATAACATTGATGGCATAATCCTAGGATTACAAAATCTATTCAATTTAACACAGAAATTGACCGAACCAAAAATTAAGTAATAGATCGATCCAAAGAAGGAAACGAGACCGAACCTTTAGGAAGCGAAGCATCTTCCTTTGATTTTCCAACTATATCCATCGGATCCATCGTTTAACTCTTCAGAATCAGAATTCAAAACGACGATCAGATTAATGGAAGATCTAGAACGCGAAGTTATAAGATGAAGAACAATGATAGAAAACAGAGATAGACTTTACCGAGGATCGAAACGGAGGAAGATCAACGACGGCGAGAGAACAGAATCTCAAGACCGAGTCACGGCGAGATCGGAGACGTGAAGTCGGTCGGGTTGTACGGATATCTTATCGGCGGAATTTCTCTCTCCTTTTTTCGGTTTCTCTACGCAGAAGTCGATTAGGGCAAAAAACATAAGACCAAAAGTAAGCGCGTGGATTTCACTTTTTCCCCAAAGTGATTGACGGCGCGTAAGATATAATTTCCTTTTTTTTAAGACAATGTGAAATGGGCTTTGGTTTGGAGCAGACACAACCTGTTTCAGCCCAATGTTTTTTTTCTGTTTTGGTTTTGAACAAATCATCCGATTTAAAGGCGTGATATTTTTTAGTCCACTAGTTAATCAGAAATTAATAGGGGATGTATGGGATTAAGTATTTTGGAAGAGTTTGATTTATTTCCAAATCACATGTTATTCTTCTTTTTATTCTTTTAGCATGTTATTCATGTTACATGTTATTATGAAATTTGCTTTAAAATAATTTCAAATCACTTGTTATTGAATTAATGATTTATGAAAGTCCTACCAAATATGGTTTTATTCAAATTTACTAATTATGTTACTTAATTTTTTTTTGTAAAATAGTATAAGATACATTTTAGTTATAAATATAAATCAAACAAAACACACCTCTCTACAAGATGAAACTATCAAATAAAGGAAAAAAACTCTAGTCCAATATTCTCCTAATGTTTTTTTTTTTTTGGGCAAACTATATTCTCCTAATGTTTGTATACTAGATTTTGAGTTAGATTTTCATAGTTGTTTGAACAAAAAGAAATCGAAAAGATATTTCCTTTGTTGATTTTTCAGATCTGATATGTTTTGTTTGCTCCGATTCGGGAAATTTTATGTTTCTTTGTCATTTTTTTGGAGTTTAGTTGGAAAAAGAGTGAGAGTCGCTGGAGGCAGCGGTTCATCGATCTCTTCCTGGGAACGAATATACATATTGAAAAAGCATGAATAGATCGATAAACCTCTGCATCCAGCGTTTGCCTCTTTATCTTTGTTATTGGCTTCAATTTTTTTTTGTTTTTTTTAAAAAAAAAAGTGAGGGAAAACAGAGTCAAGTCAGATTATTTTTCTGAGATAATTGAGGATTTTGTGTTCTTAAGAGCAGATAAAGAGGTGACTGTTGTTTCTGGTGAGAATTCGACCTCTTTAGTTTGTGTAAGTGAATTGCTTGTTTATTTGAGAATGTAGTTGACTGATAAGCCTTAGCTTGACCTTAATGTTTATTAAGTAGATTTGGCGTTGGACAAATCGAAAACAAGTTCAGATTCTTGTAGGTTCCTTTCTTGGTCTGACCAAACAATGGTCATGATAAAGTGGTGTGTTTTGATTCATGTATCAAAAAAAGTGTAGATTCTTGCCTTTCTTCCAACATGCAAGATTTCTCTTTATGCCATGGTAAAAATCAAACCTAGTTTCTCCTCTGTTGTTGTAACAATGCAAATTTTATACTTTTGTAGGTGATATAGAAGTTGGCATCTAAATTTGCTTTCTTCTGACCAGTGAAATTCAATTGCAGTGTTGACATCTCCTATTGTAATAGGCGATGTATCAGTGGTGAAGCAAGAATAAAATCTGTGGGTACTTGTTCTTGTTCCATCATCCTGAGCTGCTTTAAACGCATGGCAATTCACTCCAAAAAGGTGTTAACTCTGCCATGCGTTGAGCTGCTTTTTGGATTTGCCATTGTTGGTTTTGTGTAGTTTCTTTTCAACTGTATGAAACCCAAGTTGTTAATTGTAAACACTTACTTATAAACGAAAACATCAATCTTCATCCCCATGATTCCTACTTTACTTATTAACACGACAATGGCACTCAAGCTCCAAACATCAATCTTCGCTTATGGCTTTTTGTTAGTTGCTTCTACTTTCCTCGAGCAAGTTAAAACACGTTTTGATAACAAGATCATACTGCTTTTTGGTAATATAGATGTCATGGATAAAGCAAAATTACTTGTGAAAATAGTGAAGTTGTTGTTATACAGTCGTTTCCTCTGAGAATCCGATACAAAAGCTCAACTATGAAAAGCCAATAAAATCTGATTTCAAGCTAAACAACTCAATGAATGTTGCAAATCTTAGAAACTATAAAAAGGCCCAAATAATTGGGCCGTCATATGTAACCATTTTACCTTCTTAACAAGCCCATATGGAATTAGGGTTCCTATATTTCATCTGGTGAAGCACTTGTATAAAACCCTAACATCTCATGGTCTTGTAACGAACGGTATAAACCCTAGATATTTCCGCCACACCTCTTCCGCCAAATTTTTTTGGAGTAAGCTCTAGCTAAATATGGGAAGCGATACCGAGGCAGAGAAGTCGATTCAAAAGGAGAAGAAGAAGTTCGCTATTTCTCTTGCTCCTATCGCTAAACCTCTTGCCGGCAAAAAACTCCAGAAAAGAACATTCAAGCTCATTCAAAAAGGTACCAGTCTCATCTCCGAGCTCGACTTATGACTTTTACTTCAATCGCTTGAGTTCGATTGAAAACTCATTTTTCTATTGATTAGTAGCTCATGTTTGTGTATTGCTCTCTAATTTTTGTTAGCTGCTGGGAAGAAATGTTTGAAGAGAGGAGTTAAAGAAGTGGTTAAGAGCATAAGACGTGGCCAGAAAGGGTTAGTCTTTTCTTATTTATTCTCATGGTTGAGTGTGCTTTGTGATTGTATTGTGTTGCAAATTGCTTGTTTGATGTTGAATCCGTGTACAAATAAGCCGATGCTCTGGATTAAAGTAATGAATGTAGCATGGTACTGTACACGGAAACTGAACTATGGATCGACATGTCTGCCATCTCTGATTTTCCCTGATTAGACGGCCTGGTTTAGATCCACATTCTCTGTCTTGTCTTTGTGATAATGTTTGATAAAAGGGTTTCATGTTCTTATATGATCTTTATGATGTTCTGTCTTTGGTATTTTACTAGGTAATTAGGTAGTCTTTTAGTAGATTTTGAAATCCGTGTACAATTAAGCCGATGCTCTGGAATAAATAGAATGAAGGAAGCATGGTACTGTGCACGGAAACTGAGCTACCGCAGATCGACATGTCTGCCATCTCTGATTTTTTGGTGATGAGACGGCCTGGTTTAGATCTACATTCTCTGTTTTTGTTTCTGATTAGGCTGTTTTAAAAGTGTTCATGTTGTTTGCTTGATTGATATTAAACCCGTGTACAATTAAGCCGATGCTCTGGATTAAACAGAATGAATGTAGCATGGTACTGTACACGGAAACTGAATCACGGATTTGAAATGTCTGTGCCCTCTCTGAGTTCCTTATTGGTTCTTTGATTTGCGGGCCTGATTTCAACCCACATTTGTTGCTTCTTTCTTCTATGCAAACTATAGATTCTTTATGTTTTTTGAGTGTTGCATCTGATGTGATGAGATTTGTTCTTGTGATTGTGCAGATTATGTGTTATAGCCGGAAACATATCACCCATCGATGTGATTACTCATCTTCCAATCTTGTGCGAGGAGGCTGGTGTTCCTTACGTATACGTTCCTTCCAAAGAAGTAAGCCAATGTTCTTTCTTGATTCTAATTTCTTATCAATCAATCCGTTTTGTGGTGCTAAGACTTTTTATTTTTAATGAAATTCAGGATCTCGCGCAGGCCGGGGCAACGAAACGACCAACATGTTGTGTCTTGGTTATGCTTAAACCGGCGAAAGGAGACTTAACTGCAGACGAGCTTGAAAAGTTAAAGACAGACTATGAACAAGTCTCTGACGATATTAAGGAGCTAGCAACTTCTGTAATCTGATTAGAAACTAGAATGTGTTTCTGTTGTGCTTTTGATGGTTAATGAAGATCATGAGATTTTTCGGCATCGAATATTACTTGAGTCTTTGATATTGTAGCGATTGTAAAATTTAGAATCATAAGTCCTATGTTTTCATCTGGTTAGTGGTTAAGTCTTGATGGCCTTTATTAAATCACGTCCTTATCTACGTGTTCTGGGTGTTCGTACAATGCTGTCTGAATTAGTTCTTATCTACTGACTATGTTGATTGGCTAAAAAACTGTGAAGCAAATGTGAACAATAAAGTCTGTTAATAAATTTGATGTCTGGGAGAAAATTGATAGTATTAGGGTGACATGCGAAAAAAACAAACAGTGGCCATTAAAACCAGAACATGTCCCACCAATATACAACTTGTTTTAATATTTTATTCGTTAGACACAACATTTATTTGGCATGTTGAAAATGTTTTGTTAGAAGTTTGTTGAAAAACAAGAAAAATATCAACAACTTATGTCGTGATTCACCACTAGATTGGGTTTAGGAATCCGATTCTACTTGCTTCTAGATTCTGATTCCGCTCCCACTAGAAGTGGGGTCGTGGTTCGTGTAGGTGAGAATAAAAAGTTTCAGTCGAATAGTTAAAAAAGTGATGGGTCCAACTGTAAGAAAACATATTTATGTGGGTCAGAAAAAAAAGATATTAGGAATCAGTACGCATTTTTGCATCAGTAAAAGTGTAAAACTATCTGACTTCTTTCACAAAAACATCGTAAAAAATGGAGGAGTCACCAGGATCGCCGGCGGAACACGGCTACTACATGCCGGCGGAATGGGAACCTCATGCTCAAACTTGGATCGGTTGGCCTGTAATCCTCTATCTCTCTCTTCCTCTTTCCTTTTTCCATGTTTGTTCGTTGAAAGTAATAATCGACGGCGATTCTGGAGAACTGAATCTCGCTGTTCAAACTTCGGCTTCGATATTTTTTTTGCTCGCAATTTATCATTGTTCGAATTTCTGTCTTCCGTTTGTTTGTTGATTTCTCTGTTTCTGGGTTCGTTTTTTAGAGTTTCCGATGAATTTTGATTATTCTGGAGGTTTTGCTTCTATATTTCAAGTTAGCGTATAGACATGATTTGAGATGAGATCTCTTACATTGAAATATTTATTTGTTACAGATTCTGCAACCAAAGCAGAACTTAAAACATTTTCAATTAGGTTCTTTGTTTAGACCATATGATTATGTTTCGATTTGTTTAATCATTGTTTATATGAATCAAACAGTGTTAAACTGTTAATTCTAACCTCAAACCGCTTTTGTGATTTTGGATCTATTCTGACATAAAATGGCTGCAGGAACGGCAAGATAACTGGCGGCACAACGCTCTACCCGCACAACGAGTGTTTGCAGATGTTGCAAAGGCCATCTCAAAGTTCGAGTCTGTGACTGTCTGTGCAAGCCCTGCTCAGGTTTGTTTAGAATCATACTTGAAATAAGGAAACATCTTTGAGTTTTCTACATACAGATGTACCTATTGGTCTCTCTCTTTTTTTTTTTTTTGGGCTTACATGATTGTGTTTGCATTAGTGGGAAAATGCAAGGAAACATCTTCCAGAGGATATAAGAGTTGTTGAGATGAGCATGAATGATTCTTGGTTCCGCGACTCTGGACCAACTGTGAGTTGAGTTCTTTAGCTTCTCCCTTTTCTCACCATCTTACAAAGCTTTCTAACAATCTGTTGTTACCGCTCTCTTTTTCACAGTTCATTGTGCGGAAAAGACCTTTAAAGCTCAGTTCTCTTAATCGAAACATTGCTGGGATCGACTGGAATTTCAATGCCTGGGGAGGTAAAGATTTGGAAACCTTTCTCTATTCTCTAGTATTTGTTGTCACGGCTTGACTCACTTTACTGTGGCAGGAGCTAATGATGGCTGTTACAATGATTGGAGTCATGACCTTCTAGTTTCACGAAAGGTATTTGGAGAAACAAACCTTCTAGTCATCATCGGTTTCATATCACTCTCATAAGCATTTTCAAATCTTGATTTGCTTTTTCTTCTCCTATCCATCAGATTCTCGCTTTGGAACGGATTCCACGATTTCAACATTCGATGATTCTTGAAGGAGGCAGCATCCATGTAGACGGGGAAGGTTTGCATACATTTCATTGGGACTTCAAAACTATATAACTTGCAAAAAAACAACCCTCTGAGTTTATTATTATTC